AGCGGGACCCCCAGCCCTTCCATCCAGTGGCTGGTGAACGGCGAGCCCATAGAAGGTGAGCGAGGCAGAATCTGCATCTCCTTCCCTAAAACCCAGCCGAGGATCTCGACGCTGCCCAGGAGAGCTGGAGAAGCTGTCAGGGTGCCAGGCACCCCAGTGACTGCTGCGCGTGGGCTCCAGCATGGCAGCACATAAACCACCTGCTTGCCTGGGTCGGGGCCAGAGGAACCATCTCTTTGTAGCCTGAAGAGGCCACGTATCATCTCCTGGTTTGATCTGGGCCGAGGCAGGAGGACGCGTGATGCGATTCTCGGGGATTTTCCTTTCCAACGTCATTTTAAAGAGCGGTCTCTGTTTTGAAGCTTCTCCCCCCAACCCGAGCCGAGAGGTGGCTGGAGACACCATCGTGTTCCGAGACACCCAGATCGGCAGCAGCGCCGTGTACCAGTGCAATGCCTCCAACGAGCACGGCTACCTGCTGGCCAACGCCTTCGTCAGCGTCCTGGGTACGTACCGAGGGAGGACCAACACCCTGCAGCCCAGGTTCCCCTCCAAGAGTTCTCTGTTTCCTTTCCTCTTTGTTGTTAAATACTCTGAGGATTAGCTACTCTGAGCGTTAGCTACTCTGAGCGTTAGCTGCTCTGAGAATTAGGTGCTCTGAGGATTAGCTACTCTGGGGATTAGCTACTTTGGGGATTAGCTACTCTAACACACAGAGGGAGGTGACCTCTGCAGCCAGGCTTTGGATCACAAGTCCATTGCCAGGGTCCTGCCAAGCCTCAGCAAGTCCTCTTGGTGTTCAGAGGGAAGCTGCCTCACCTAGGGAGGCTAGAAAGGGAAGGAGGGATGAGAGGGAATGGAGAAGCTCTACTGGGTCTTGAATGAGGCAACAAGGAAAAATTAACAAAAGAGAAAGGAGGGTGGGTGACAGGACTGGAAAGGGAGCAGCAGGCTGGAAACTGGCTGCTTTTCTTTCTCAAAGGGTGTGCTTTCTGGTGTTTGCAGACGTGCCTCCACGGATACTGGCTCCCCGCAACCAGCTCATCAAGGTGATTCAGAACAACAGGACCCGCCTCGACTGCCCCTTCTTCGGCTCGCCGATCCCCACCTTGAGATGGTGAGAGCTGCAGCACATCTCCTGCCCGTCTGGAGGGGTGGGGAGGGCAGGTTTCCTGCTCTTTCTTCCCTTACAATAGCACTTTGTGGTGTTGTGAGGTTTAAGAACGGCCAGGGGAACACGCTGGATGGAGGAAACTACAAGGCACACGAGAACGGGAGCTTGGAGATGAACATGGCTCGGAAGGAGGACCAGGGCATCTACACTTGCGTTGCCACCAACATCCTGGGTAAAGCGGAGGCCCAGGTTCGCCTGGAGGTCAAAGGTAGGGGCACAAAGGGTCAAAACAGTCTCTTGGATCTTCTGAAGCTCACAGCAGAAATCAGCATTTAGGTTAAGGAAGGGTTGGTTGTGTGCTCCGGCATTCTGTCAGCTGGAATCCAGAAAATGCTAGAGATTCCCTTTGAATGTTGGGAAAAACCAAGTCTGTGGATATCCTGAAGCCGTAGGTGGGCTTGGTGTGGCTATTGGGCTGTGAGAGGCCATAAGCAATGCAAAAAGAAATACAAACTATTCCTCAGGGTTAACTGAAAGCAACCATCTTTCTGAATCAAGTTTCCAGCGGGGCTCCCCTTGTTCAGCAGAACTGATTGCTGACACAGAAAAGTGGGTATTTTTTAAAGGGTCAGCAAAAATGGTGTGCTAAACTAATTTATTTGCAAGCATTGGTATCAGAGACAGTTCACCACAGTAAGATGGACAAACTTGACACCCACGCTTGTCCTTCCCACTACTCTTCACCGAGCCCCTGAGCTAAGACCCAGCAGTTTAGTGCCTAGAGCTTTCTTCTGACTCTGTGCAGACCCCACCAGGATTGTGAGAGGACCAGAAGATCAGGTGGTGAAGAGGGGCTCCATGCCTCGCCTCCACTGCCGTGTAAAGCACGACCCCACGCTGAAACTCACGGTCACCTGGCTGAAAGATGATGCACCCCTGTACATTGGAAACAGGTCTGTGTTCAAGGGTTTTTTGGGTCTTCCCTCCCAGGGTTGTTGGTTTTTTTACAGAATGCTTCAGGAGTCACCAGGGGTAATATGGACAAACATCAAGTTCCCATCAATTATCGTTGGGTAGTTCCCATCCAACCTTTGCTGTTCTTGATAGTTTTAATGTAGCTCCTTCCAACAGACACTGCCTGGCAATTAGAATTGACTTATCCCTAAATCAAGACTTTGACTGTAGGTTTTATTTTAGGACAACGTTAATAACAAGCTACTTCAAAAGTAATGTTTATCTGCTGTTGAGCAGTCCAGTTGTAATTTCCTTCCCTAGCTGACTCCCTCCTCTGAGCTCTGATCACAGGACACGAGCCAGCCAGAGGTCAGGCTGTTTTCCCAACAGTGTGATTATTCCAGATATGCACCAGAGCACATTTGCTGATTCCTTAGGAAATGAGGTTTCCCAGAATAACTCGACACGTCCTTAGCTGATAAAATCATCAGACCAGAGACATACTCCTGTTCTATTTGGGCTTTTATATGTATTTTATCAGAGAGCTGTTAGACCTCGATCCTGCTGCCTAATGTGCTTGGGCACAGTTGTGTGATGATCGTTCTCATCCCTTCAAGGATGAAGAAAGAAGATGATGGCCTGACAATATTTGGCGTGGCTGAAAAGGACCAGGGGGATTACACGTGTGTAGCTAGCACGGAGCTGGACAAGGACTCTGCTAAAGCCTACCTCACTGTACTAGGTAAAGCTGCCCTCCCCACGTCCTCACCCAGAGTGCTCCATTTTTTCCTACGACAGACTGACTGACTTCAAGGTCAGACTGAAAGGGTGATCTGTGATCACAGGGTTGTCCTCGGAAGCAGAGATGCTCAGGGAGATGCTGGCAGAGCAATTGTTCCGTTGCTGCAGGACTCGGCAAGGACGTGCTGCCTAAATTCAGGCTCAGACAATGGCACTGAATTTGAGTCCAAGAAAACTTGAGTTTGAGACAAAAAAAGAAAAGAAAAAAAAAGAGTAGTTATTACGTACAGCTAAAAATATCCAAATGTTGAAGCTCTGCGAGAACAGTCCTAAATTTGCAAGTGAATTTAACTGAATGTCAGGGTGCTGAGCCACACTGGAAAGCTGGGGCTGAGCAAGCCCCTCCCAGCCCTGCAGGTCCCCTCTTCAACCCAGGCAGTGACCAACCCAAACCCGTTCCCCACACCCATTTACTGACACTGTGAGATCTACTTGCAGACCCCAGACTCATCGATCCTCACACGTGCCCACCTTGGATTGTGCCAACATGCTGCAGTCATGGCAGTGCCCCAACCTGCCAGCACCACTGGCACAGACCCCACAAAAGTCAGAGTGCAGCATGAATCCTATATCCCTAATAATTTGACTGGGCTTGACTGATTTCCCTTCCTTTTCCCCTAATATCTAACTCTCTAGCAGGCTGTTTCCCCTTTGCTGTGTACTAGAAGTGGGAATAAAGGTGTGCAGAGACCTGGGGGTCTCTGGGGGAAGGAAAAATTTACTCTGGTCCCCAGACAGGTCGAATCCTTCTGAAATGTGTCACTCTGTGTGTAACTTTATATTTGCCAGGTGCTCCTTTGGCCACTCAAGCTTAATGACTAAACTAACACCGTTAACAACCAATGTCTTACCTTGCAGCCGTCCCTGCTAACCGTGTGAGAGAGTTACCAAAAGGTAATCATCACTAATTCATTTGGTTTCTTTGATTTGGTGAATTTATTTTGTTTTGCCTTGCCAATAACGCCAACAGAAAATCCAGGTGAAAGGGCTGAAAAAGCTGGGGGCTGATGCTTCCAAGTCCTGTCCAGGTTGCCCTTGAAATCCCATCCAGATGGCTGCAGGTAGGAAGGTCCTGTGCCACATCATTTTGTGTCCCACAGTGCCAATTCCTGAGTGCAAGAATCGCTTTAGCCATGGCTGGAAACGGTGAGCTCTGAGGGGAGAAAACAAAATCACATTGAATCCCTTGATCTTTATCTGGAAAGAAGTTACTGCTGTTACTGTTATTGCATGAGCTGGTTTGGTGCAACCATGAGGGTCACGACCAGAGAAAGGATCCAGAATTGTGCCCAGAGCACTTCTAACAACTGTGTATTTTCATTGAGGCTTTGTGTCCTTTCTGTTCTATTTGTTTGCATTTATTTTTTGGAGAGCTGTGTGTGGTTTCCTGTAAGATCCTTAATCCTCCTACTAAGCCACTGTATCATGCTTCCACCCCCAGATAACCCCAGCTGTACAGGAAGGTTTCAAGGCAAGGCACCATTAGTACATGAGCACTTTGGTGTTTAAAAAATTGCCCTGGTCCCCCCCGAGCTGTAGGACATGAACCGTGCCACAGAGCACGTGTCCTCCCGTGGGTCTGGGCCAAGGTGGCCAGGGCTTCCACTAGGGGAGAAGCGATGGGAACTGGGACAATCCCAGCTCCTGGGACAATCCCAGCTCCTGGGACAATCCCAGCCTCATTTGTCTCATTCCCTGGCTAACAGAACGACCCGACCGGCCCCGGGACCTGGAGCTGACAGACCTGGCCGAGAGGAGCGTGACGCTGACGTGGATTCCTGGCGACGACAACAACAGCCCCATCACAGGTCAGCCTCCACAGGCCAGGGAGAACTTCCCTCCTGAGCTGAGCCCTTCACCCCACCTCTCCATCCTCTCCCCCAGACTATATCGTCCAGTTTGAGGAGGACCGGTTCCAGCCTGGCATGTGGCACAACCACTCCAGATACCCCGGGAGCGTCAACTCGGCCAGCCTGAGACTCTCTCCTTATGTCAACTACCAGTTTCGGGTGATTGCAGTGAATGATGTGGGCAGCAGCCTGCCCAGCGTGCCCTCTGAACGCTACCAGACCAACGGGGCACGTGAGTATCCCCTTGCCTTGGTGGCTTGATGTTGTTGTTGGCATCTGGCCATCGCTCTCCATGTAGACTTGTCCCTCATGGTGTATGATCCCAGCTCCTATGACAGATTTACACAGATGACAGAATGAGCTGGTCCATACTAGCTGGTCCATAATTTTATCTATCACATCCTCAAGCCCATCACTGATATTCCACAGCAAAACTCAGAGGGATTTATGCGAAGGTCACTCCAGCAGAATCTGTTGAAGGAAAGCCCAGTTTCACCTTACAGAGAAGCTTTTAAAGAGAGTCTTTCATCCTTTCTGACCACAGGAAGCTCAGGAGTCTCTTGGAAAATTAGAATCAAGTATAAACTGGCCACAAGCTAAAGGCATTTTGTTCCAAAATTGCTAATTCCTCGTCCACTGCTAGAGCTGGCCAGGAGCCCACATCGATGCAGCAGTCAAGTCTGCTCCAGTCCACCACCAAGACTCAGGTCTTCAGTTTGTGTGCCCAGTGCTTTGTCCACTGTAGAATACTTGGGAAAATTCCTATGAGGAATTCACAAGAAGTTTAGTAGTTCTGCTGCATTTCTGCTTTTAACCATTGCAGAGAGAGTTCTGCAATATCTGCTGGCATCTAGTGTTGGCTGTTGACATTACTCTTCTTGTTTCACATTTCAAAAGTTGTCAGACTCGGCTTCCGAGGTTGCTTCACAATGGTTGTCTTTCAAAGATTTAGGACATTTAGGGGGAGAAAAAAAAAAAGAGTCTCTTAAATAAATGGCCTGGTTTTCAAGAGTGCTGAGAGCCTCATGTTCCATTAACCTGAATGGGAACTTCTGGAAAAATCAGGCCATTAACTTCTGCCTTGGAAGTCCTTTTGGTTTGCACAGTAAAGGGCTTTCAGCCGTGCTAATGGTCGTTTTTCAACACTATAAACCCTTTTTTTTCTTTTTCTTTTCTTTTTCACAACGTGAATTTCAGGTCCTGAAATTAACCCAACAGGAGTTCAAGGTGCAGGGACCCAAAAAAACAACATGGAGATAACCTGGACGGTGAGTTCTTCTTTGATGCTTGACAGCCACCCAGCTTTTTACCATTAAGGGCACAGATGCTGTAAGATATAGAGACCTTGGTGTCTCCAGGGATGTGTGATGTACCACATGGAATACCACAACGATCCTAAATGATCCTAAAGGAAATGCAAAGCTGAAGATGCACCAAGAGAGGCCATTGTTAGTGTGTAGAAGAAGGTTTGTGATAAAACAAATCATTTTCAGCTATGTAGCTCAAAGAAAAGATGCTGGATCACAGATACAGGTTAGGGAGGATGCTCTGAGAACCTGATCCTTAAGCAGTATATGGGGCTTACAGATCAGCTCTTGCATTTCCTCATGGACCAGCAGGTGTCATCCAAAAACAAGGCAGCATCTGTAAAGAGGATGGAAATTGTAGTGGGAGTGGCCTGGAATATAAAGATACAGTTCCTGGTCCTGCCTTAGGTCTGGAGGGCAAGGACTAGGGATGTGTCTCTCTGGGAACAAAAGTATTGACTTTGAGATCTGTCCAGCTTCAGGACAGAACCTTCTGGAGCTCCATGGTAGAGAAACACAGTTGCACTTTCTCCTTCTCATTTTCTCTTTCTGTTTTGGTCCATTAAGCCTCTGAATGCAACTCAAGCTTATGGGCCCAACCTCAGGTACATCGTGAGATGGAGGCGAAGGGACCCCCGGGGCAGCTGGTACAACGAGACAGTGAAGGCACCGAGGCACGTTGTCTGGAACACACCCATCTACGTCCCCTACGAGATCAAAGTGCAGGCAGAGAATGATTTTGGCAGAGCCCCCGAGCCCGACACCGTCATCGGCTACTCAGGGGAGGATTGTGAGTACTTTTGCAGCCAGAGGTTGTGTTTCAGGGCAGGATCCCACCCAAGGTCAATGGGTTGGCACCCGTGGCCCGGGACATGTTCCTAGCACTGCTTGATTTGGCACAAAAATCCAGTTCCAGGCATTGGAAGGGAGAGGCTTGGCTGTAAGATCCTGCTCAGGGCTCTGCCTGCGTGGCCCAGGTCACTCAGGGTCCCCTCACTCTGTGACACCCAGCTAACACTTTGACTGGAAACACAGATTTCACTTCAGATAAGCTCTGGCTACATCCCAAGAAGCCACATTAAATTTCTTGCCCCTGACATCTCTAAAGCACTGAGTTGATCTCAGATGAGAGGTGCTACAAATGGCCAAAAAGACCTTGGTCCACCCTGGACTGGATTCTTGTGCCTCCCTGATAAGCCCCAGCTTGGGCTCCTGTTTGCAACACGTTGTTAGCTCAGCTTAACTCTCTTTAAATCTCTCCTCTTGGTCCCACAAAGCAGTGGCCAGCTTGTTTAACTCTCTTTTCAGCTTCTTTCTGGGCTACTGGTGTCACCTTCTGTGCCTGTAGCATCCAAGACTGAACTACAGTTATCCTGATCCTGTTGGGATAATGTGATTTGCTGCCAACAGCTTCATTTTTAAAGATATCTGTTATTAGTACCTTGCACTGCAGCAGCAGTGGGGGTCCCTGGCTGTGTGATTTTAGGATCACCAAGAAGTAAGGGAGATAAGCCAACTAACCATCCATGACTCTGTCTTCTCCCAGAGGAGACAGGGCAATGGGAAGGAAAATGGGCATCAGGGTGAGATGGTGGGATCAGGGTAAGAGATACTGTGACTGGGAATGCTCCACAAACACCCGACTGCACCGTGGTCTTGGCACTACCCAGCTGTGCACTGCCAGGGTTGGGATTTTCCTACTTTCAGTTGGAAAGCTATGCAATAATGTTGAGTTTTGGGAGGATCTGAAGAAGCCTGTGGGTGTGTGCTTCACATGGAGGTAAACCAAGGAGACCAAAGCTGCTGTATCACAGCCACAAACGTGTTCCTGCTGGTATCCTGAGGAGTGGGGCAAGTTAAAACCTAACAAAAACAAACCAAAAAACCCTAATCCTTGCCCTGTCATATCTGAATGGCTTCACAAATAACTGCAGATTTCTACATACAACCTAAAATGACCTGTAAAGAAGAGATAAAAACCCCAGCTGGCTCAAGAGCAGGTTCTGGCCAAATTCAGATTAATGGATGTGGAAATACCAGGTAGTTTGGGAACTCTAGGGTCTCACAGCTCCCAGCCAGCTGCAGCAGGAGGGGCTGGATTTGCCACGACCCTTCACTGGGACAGGGAGGTGAGCCAGACCCCTTCCTTGCAGCTAACGTGGTCTCTTGCCCTGCTATGAACTGGATCACAAATGTTCTCCTGATGGCTGGCTGAGTGAAATACAGGGTTTTTCCCTTCTTTTCTGTGGAAGCACTGCTAAAAAAAAAAACAATAGTCAGCATTAAAAGTGTGCACATGTCAGGGAGAAAGTGAGGGATGGAGGTAAGTGATGCTGCTGTGTGTTTGCGTGGTCATGGGCTCTCCTCACCCCAGCCAGGAAGCTGAAAATAAGCTGAAAATTTGCCTCTTGCTGCTCTTTTATATGGTCAAGTTTGGAAATCCTCAGCGAGAAAATTTCAGGAGGGAGAAAAGGAGATGACTGTCCCCATGAAAACACTGCCAGCAGATGGCAGAGCCGGCGTGTGGGACCACAGCAGCCCTGCGATGGGAAACCCACGGCCAGGGGGGGCAGAGGGGGTGTCCGTCTGTCTGTCTGACCTCGGGGGTACCGCTGGGTACCTAACGTGCTCTCTGCTCTGTCCCCAAACGCTCAGATCCCAAGGCTGCGCCGACGGATGTTAGGATAAGAGTTCTAAACAGCACTGCCATTGCTCTGACCTGGACCCGGGTGCACCTGGACACCATCCAGGGCCAGCTCAAGGAGTACAGAGTGAGCAAAGCCAAACCTCTTGGGCACTATTAATCCAGCTAACCTTCTCACGAGCCGAGGTGGCCCCAGTCACGGAGCTGCCTGCCATGGGGATGACAGAAAACTCTCCTCCAGCCATCACGACCCTTCTTGCAGACCACAGGGGCTGAGCTCTGCTCTGGAACAGCAGCAGAGCTGGAGGGGCCTTGGGTTGCAATTTGTGGTGGCTGGATGGCGCTGGGGGCATCTCCTGTTGCTCCCTAAGGGCTTGCTGCTGAGCTGGACCTTCCCAGCACCTGCCTGCAGGATCTGGGGTGCTCAGACAAAGCAAGTGGGGCTGCCCTTGGGCACCCAGAGAGGGTCTTGGCATGGTCCCATCCATGCAGTGAGGTGTCTTCTGGCTCTAGAGCTGCCCAGACCCGTGGGCTGGCTGGCTCTGGGGAGAATATCCTCTGAAAACTACAAAAAAGGGGCTTGCTTTTGTGTCATCCCCAAAGTACCTCCATCACCTTTTAATGAACACCAGGCCCTGCAAAGCCTAAACCCAGCAGTTCGTACTAACTGGCAACTAAAGACAGCCCAGATCCTGTTTGCTCCTGTCCTGCCAAGGTAAAACATCCGTGTTTATGTACAGAGGACAGACCCTGTTCAGAATAAGCAGAAGTCTGGACAGAACCCCTTCTATCAGAGTTTAAGACGTTACCAAAAGCTCGTGTCCTGCACGCTGTTACAACACCTCAAATCCAATAATCTGCTGGCCATAAAGAAAGCTCCTCGGGTACTGCTCTCATTTTTTTCTGCCTCTGCTCTGTCATTCTGATCTGTTTTCTGAATGAATCTTATTTCTGCATGAAATAAGATTTACAGGCAGGGCTTTGAAGGAGACTTTCCAAGTTCAGACTTTCCTTTGTGCCTGGACACATCCCACTTTTCCTTGCCCACCGGTGCTAATCTGGGTGGAAAGGGAGAGTCACTCGATGCCTAACACCCCGGAGCCAGAATTAGCTTTTTGTAGCCTGAATTTAGCTGGTTTTGCTCTGTGACCTTCAGTAAACACTTAACTCCATGCTCAGCCTCTTCCTCGGGTAACACCACTGACCTGCCTCACTGGGAGTGACACAGAGCTTCATTAATTACTCTAAAAAGCTTCTGCAGCCAAGAGCTGCTCTTTGGAGAGGCACCGTTTTGCTCTGCTTTATTAATGAAAAAAAAGAAAAAGAAAATTGCTCTTAAATGGGAAAAGCTTCACTTGCCATGCATGTTTCTTGAAGGCCTATTTCTGGAGAGACAGTAGTTTGCTGAAGAACCTGTGGGTCTCCAAAAAACGGCAGTATGTGAGTTTTCCTGGAGACCGAAACCGGGGCATAGTGTCCCGGCTGTTTCCTTACAGCAACTACAAGCTTGAGATGGTTGTAACCAACGGGAGAGGAGATGGGCCACGCAGTGAAGTTAAGGAGTTCTCCACACCAGAAGGAGGTAGGTTCCCAGGGGGGTCGTGCAGGCATCTGACCCTCAGGCTCGTGCTGGGAGAGGTTTGGGTGGTTCAGCTCTGCAGAGCCGACCGGGAGCTGCTCCACTCTGCAGCAGAATGAGATGCTGCTGGGGAGATGTGCCAGGGATGATTTTTTAGCTGAGCCTGGGCAGCATCACTGTCACAGGGCTCTGCCCCACGCCTTTGTCACCACGGGGCAGGGGACATCTCTGCAGCTACACCTAAGAGCCAACTACGGGCTCATCAAGCTAAAAAATCCCCTTCAGGCACTTGGAGCACATCAGGAAGTAGCTCTCGGAGAGGAATGTTTGCAAAGCCTCTTCAGAAGCACAGCTCCATGCCCTTGATTTACTGCCAGCCCTGCAAATGTCACCACAGAGCTTCACCTTGCTCAGGAAAAGGCCCCAAAATCCCTGTAAGACCCGAGTACCTTCATTCTGAAAGGGTGTCACTGATCCCCCTGTCAGGCTTCTCAGGCGAGAGCTCCTCGTTCTTCTGTTTAAAGAGCTTGTGTCAAGGATGAACTTGAGATTTCAATTTCCTTGCTGTCACAGGAGCTATTTATAGAACACGCCAATAACTTTTTGTTGGAGCTGCACTTTCAGTGGCTGGCAATGAATCCTCCTACAGCACAGATGTTTTTGGCACAGTACGTCAGAAAAATGCAGGAGGAGAAAACAGGAGAGGCTGGAAGCGACTCCTGTCTCAATTCATACAAAATACTCCAGCAAATCTTCCTCTTTCTCTTCCTCTTCATCGTATTCCTGCTTTACAAAACCAGCAGCTCTCAGCCCTATTTCTTTCTTCCTTAACAATTTCTTGGACGCTGTCCCCATTTTCCAAGGTTTTTCCATTGATCAGCCATCATTAAGCTTATTTACAAGGACAGGGCTCCATTCCAGTAGAGTGGCTTTGCTACAAGGTGTATTTTTGGTTGAGCTGCTTACCTGTGTGCTAGAGGCAGGGAGCATTTGGGGTGGCTCTATGCATTTGGGGTGGCTCTATTCATTTGGGGTGGCTATATAGATTTGGGGTGGCTGTATGCATTTGGGGTGGCTGTATGCATTTGGGGTGTCTATCTGCATATGTCTGTGGCATTGATTGAAGGAATTACAGCAGATTTTACTCTTGTCATAAGGAAACTGTTGATTTTTTTTTTTATACTGATTATATATTGGGTTTTAGGAGACTGGATAATATTCTGCAAAATTTCTGTTGGAAAAAGATGTCAATATCATTGATCTCTCAGCTCAGAGAGCCAAGTTCTTTCCCCAGTTAAGACACCACAATTATGAGTCAACAGAATAATTTAATTCAAGAATGTATAACGCTTTCCTTCCTTTACTAGCTTTGAATAAGCAGTCATAAAAGCAGCTGTTCCTCAGGGTAAGGACCACTGTACACGTGCACCAGCTCTGCTGATCTCTAGACATCAACAACACCAAGATGCTTTGCTCTAAGAGAAGCTACTACACTATTTTTCCCCGTTCCAACAGATAAATAGATGAGGTGTAAACACAGGGCTGGGCGGGGGCTGTGAAGGAGACCAGCCAAGTGTGTGCACACCAGGCAGAAGTGGGACCTGAGCTGTGTCCCAGCTCCACTCCCAGGCTGCAGCATCTCTTGTGGGCGAGGGTGGCGGGACCCAGGCTCAGAGCACGGGGCTGCCCAGGGGGCTGGGGCTGCATGCAGAGCTGCTCTGGTTTCTGCTCCCTGCACACCCGCTGCTCCAAACCCTGGGCTGGCGCATGGTTTCTGGCACAGAGTCTCCTTCAGTCGGTTTCTGACCTGCAGTGTGTGTGGATTATCTCTCTGTGTGTGTGTTTGTGAGTGTATCAGTCAGCCTGCAAAGTGTATGGTGTTGTAAGGTATGTTATCTTGTATGTTTTTTTCTTCTTTCCCTCTCCTTCCTGGTCCCATCCTCCTCCCAAGTGCCCAGCTCCCCCAGGTATTTAAGAATCCGACAGCCCAATCTGGAAATCATCAATCTGGAGTGGGATCATCCAGAGCATCCCAATGGAATCCTCACAGGATACAGCCTTAGATATCAAGCCTGTACGTTGCACATGTTATCTTCCTAGTGATAATAATGAAGTCTTTAAATATTTTCCCTGCTGCCCATTACCTCCTCACCTAGCACAGAAAGCTCTCTGTAAGGAACTGGAGGCTTTCATCACAAGATGAGATGTGCTGGTATTAGAGAGGAGTCCTGGAGCAGTGCTGGGCAGCTCCAGTTAACCAAGGAGGGTGGTGGGTGCTCAGCAGTTCTCCAGGCTCGACCACTGAAGGGAAATAAGTTTGATCTTTGATTTAGAAAGACCTTTAAATGCAGTCTGAGTAGTTTACGTGCTCAAACACAAGCTCCCTGCTGTATAAGAGATGCTGCACGCTCTGCAAAGCCCAGCACAGCCTCCACCAAGACCCTGAGATTTGTGCTTTGCCTTTCCTTGACCACTTACACCACCCTGAATGTCCTCACCAGCAGGTCCCCAGCCCATAATTCCCTAGAAAAAGAATATTCCCCAGCAGCTATAGCTCTGAGCACGTGGCCCCACGGCGACTGCAGGTTGGTCCCGGGGAGGGGGTGTGAGGTGTTGGGGTAGCCAGCCCAGCGTATTCCTGGCACAAGGCTGAAGCCACCACGACCTGCCTTTCCTCCCCAGTCAACGGATCCAAAACGGGCCGAACCGTGGTGGAGAACTTGTCTCCCAACCAGACAAAGTTCACCCTGCAGAGGACAGACCCCATCTCGCGCTATCGCTTCTTCCTGCGCGCACGGACCCAGGTGGGAGAAGGAGAAGCCCTAGTGGAGGAGTCGCCAGCCCTGCTGAATGAAGGTATGTGCAGCAGCAACAGCTTCTGCCTTTGCTGAGGGCCTGGGGGGTGATGCAACACGTGCCAGCCAAAAACCACCCAGCAGAGAACCAGGTGGTCCCCACAGGAACCAGGACAAGATAGAAACCGGTGCACAGCTACTGCCTGCTGCAGGGAGAGAGAGGAGACTGGCCAGGACACAATACTGCAGCCGGGATGCCACAAAAGGGGCTGAGGGGGC